GGCCAGGGCCACTGCAGCTAGCGCGCCCAGCGCCACGCGCGCATGAGCCACTGAGACACGCGCTGCGTGCAGGAGCGGGTGTGTGAGGCCCACGCAGCGCTCTACGGCCATCCCACAGCCCAGTAGTAGTGGGCACAGCCCGAAAAAGACCATGCAGCCACCCAGGAAGTGGCAAGCCCCGCCGGCTGGCGCACGCCCGGCTGTGTACAGGCGCAGTACCAGTGCACCCGGGATCACGTGGCCCGCCAGGTCTGTGGCCAACAGGCAGGCAACAAACAGCAGGAAGGTAGCTGCCGAGCGGCGGCGCCGCAGCCGCCCTGCTGCCTGTGCCAGCAGCACCAGAGCCAGCACGTTGGACACTGCGCCTAGAGTCATGGAGAAGATGGGCAGCGCTGGCGACGCGCTGGGACCGCCTGACGGTGCCGACGTGTTGGGGACCCCGGGCGCCTCACACGTGGTTGCCTCACCAGGCAGGCTCGAGTTTGGAGTCCCGCAGGGGCTCATGTCAGGTGCCAGGAGGGCTGGGTAGGACAGAGGAGGGCACATGAGGCAGGCAGGAGACCCAGTGCTGTTCCATCCCAGGTCATAGGGCTGTCCTCTTGTGGGTCCTCTGCCTACAGTGACTCCACATGCCCTGGGTTTCCCAGCTTCTCACTACACCATATGTGCCCATGCTGTTCCGAGTGCCCACAGCCTCCACTCCCCCAGCCTCAGCCTTTCATCTCTCTGCCCCCACTAAGCCTCACAGGCCCGACTGCCCCCTGCTACCTGCTTTTACCCAACAGTGAATTTCTGGCTCACCCTGACCCTCTGTGATGCCAGGGCCCCCCAGTCCCCGACTGCCCCTGCTCCTGTCACCATGTCACCTTACCGTCCATCCCATTCTCAATGCCCTCAGCTCTACTCCACTATCTTGGGCCCTGTCCCTGTCCTTAGGGACCCATCTCTGCCTTCCCCGACACTTGCCTCTGTCCCCAGAGTCCCATCTGTCCCTCACAGCCCTGTCCTTTGACCTATTTCTATACCCCGTGGCCACATCTCTGTTCCTGTTGTACCTTATCTGTCCCTGTGCCTCCATTTCTGATTTCCACAGCACTGTCTGTGTCCCCAAAACCACATCTCTGTGTCAATGAACCGCAGTTCCAGCCCTGCCACCCCATTCTCCTGTTAGAGGCTCAGGCAGCCTGGGACCACACACACTCACACATACTGCTTTACCGTCTGGCACTGAGGGCTGAAAGGCAAACTCCCCTGGGCCAGATGAGAAGGGAGGTGGTGGACAGGGACAGACAGGAGGGATCGAGAGCCAAACAGGACCAGACCAAGGTAGCGATCGCCCCGCTCCCTGTGCCCTCTTGTCCCCTCTATCCTTTCCTCTTACCTGGTGCTGTCTGGGATGCTGGGCCCCCATGGCCCCCACGGCTCAGCGCCCACTGCGACTGGCTCTGGCCAGGCCGCTCCCTCCACCCTCTTCCTGGGGCGGCTCTCAGCTCCTGCCTCCACCACGCCCTGCTGGCCTTCTGGGCTGCTCCACCGTATGCACGCCTGCTGGGGGCCTTCGGGGACAGAGACCCCTGCTCTGTGCTCCTGGGGCTGGGCAGGGGCCACTCAGGAACCTAGCTGCCCTCTTCTGAGGGAGGCTCCCAGGAGTTGGCCTGGCCCCTGGGACCCCCTCCTCCTAGAGGGGCAGGGGCAGACCCCCCTGCTTGGGCTTCTTGCCCGCCTCATTAATAAAGAGGATAAAATCTAAACACTGGAAAATATGAGCATCGCCCAGGGCGGGCTGGGGAGGCTGCAGGGGGTGGCGCTGCCCCCACCAGGGCTTTGGGACTAGGAGGGCCCTGCACAGGGGAGGGGGTGGGACAGCGCCACCCCCTGCCCTGTTCAAACCTTTGTGGGCGTTGGGATGAGCAACAGTGGCAGTGCTTGGCTCTTCTGGCTGGGACCCGCCCAGGCCACACCGAGGACCCCAGGGACCTGGGAGGTCTAGGGACAGGCCAGTGCCCCATCCTGCCTTGGGTGTGTTGAGCAACATGTCTGACACCCAGGGCAAGACATCTCACGCCCTGCACTCCGATACATAGCCATGACCTCACCTCAGGCCCTGAGAAATAAGGTGACAGTCTTGGGGGGTCACCTGCACAGCCCCACACCACAGAGACCCAGCATTGGTCACGCTTGCCCCCCAAGATAACATTGCTACATCCCTGAACTCACTGAACTGCTCCTCCCAGCACGGGAGACCATCCAGAGTTGCTGTGACAACAGCCATTCCCTTGAGACCCTGAAATGCACCCCTCAAAGTTGACCCCCATTGCAGCCCTAAGCACCGGGAGATACAGGCTCACCTGTGAGCCTGTCAAGGTACACTTGGTGCACCCTAGGCACAGGAATGGTACCTGCTCCACCCCCAGACCTGGCAGCACCCCAGTGCCTGTCACACCTTCAGGTGCACAGGCTCATATCCTCAGACAAGTCATCCCCAACCCAGATACCCTGAGACCCAGCCAGTCAGCCCTTCCCCCCCAAAATACCACCCTGGGAAACAGGCACTGTCACACTCTACACCCCAACACCACCAGCTGCACCCTGGAACACGGATGGGGGTCCCATTCACCCAGACCTGTCACGGGCCTCACTCAACATGTCACCAGCCACCAACACCCAACAGACACACGTCCTACTCACACAGCCACACCTCTTCACCAGATCTGTCCCCCAGCAGCCACTCAGGGCTGCCCCGTCATCCAGACCACAGCTCCCACCCTGCCCATGAATGCAGGCTCAGGCTTGGATGCACCCCTTCCAGCACCCCCAATGCACTGGTGCAGCTGGACTCCACTTGTTGAAGCAGCAGGTCCTCAGCCGGCCCCGAACATTCCTGACCTGGGCCCATCCTCTCCCTTTCCTGCAGATCTGGCTAGCATCCCACCCTCCCTGTCCTTGATCCCCTCAATCCCAGGATGAAGCTGGCTGTCAAAACAAGGCCGGTTTTATGTCCCACGGGAAGCACTGCACCGTGGACGCCTGTGGACTCTGAATGTCCTGTGAAGGCTTGTGGGGGTGGGTGAAGGGTGGGGCTCCGGGGAACCCCAGTGGGTGCCTCAGGCTGGAACAATGGTGCAAGGCCCCTGTGCCCACTCCATGGGGGCTGGCAGGCAGCCTTGATGGAGACGGGGCAGGATTTGAACCATCCGCCGCCAGGAATCTCACATTGCCTGGAAGCCTGGTGGCCAGCAGCCAGAAGCCGTGTCGGGAGGGTGGTGGGATGGGGTGGTGGCCTCGGGCCAGCTCCTAATTCAATTTGGAGCTCAAGGAAGATAGATTTCAGCTGCCGCATTCTTTCCAGCCCCAGCCCACCCCAAACCCCACACCCCACACGCCCAGCCACACAGGTCCTGATGCAGATAGATCCTTTATGTTCAAGACAGAAAGTCAGATACAAAAGCCCCTGACATCGCTGCCCCTGCCTCCCTCCTCTTGGGGGCCTGGAGGGTCAGAGAACAGGGTTGGGGAGCAGCTGGGGGTTCACAGCACTCTTTCCCAACAGAGGTAACAGACTCCAAATCAGGGGCTCCTCTTGGGAGAAGGTAGCGGAGGGGAGAGGTTATTGCATTTGCTGAGGGACACCCCCCAATTCCTTGGGTCACAACCCCCACACAGAACTTAGGCCCCAGGGAGACACAGCGACCCATTTGGCAGCTGTTGGCGGTAAGTGGCGGGGTGGTTGCCCAGTTCAAGTCCCTCCCCAGGATCCTGACCCAGCTGAGGTAGGGGGTGCCAAGGACCCCGGCCAGGCTGGAATCCGGGAAGACTGTGGTACCAACTGAAGCAGGCAGGGCTGCGCCCCAGTGCCGACGTCATCTTCTGACTGCTGAGCTACAGCTACGAGTCACAGCTGGATGCACAGGGTCGTGGCCGTGGTGTCCCCTCTTGGGCCTCCAGCAGGCCGTCCTTGGTCACTGCGAGGTCCAGTGGGTTCCTAGTAGCGGCCAACCTTAGCGTCCCCGATAGCACCCCAGACATCAAAGACGAACTCGTCTGGGAAGGCAAAGTCACCCAGCTGCTCGTCAAGGGCCTCGGCCAGCTCGTCTGGGTTTCTTTTGTCCTTCCCCAGCTCGACCATGGTGGCTGCTGCACAGGCAGGGGACAGAATGGAGACACGGAGGTTAAGAGGGGCAGAGGGGTTTGTCCTGGGCCTAGGAGTCCACTCCCAGTCCCCATTACCCCCAGTCCCGGGCACCCACTCACCCAGCTCGGTGTCTCTGATCCCCATGTAACTCTCCAGCAAATCGTCCACCTTCTCGATGGCCTTCTCCTCAAAGGCTGAGGGCTAGGGCCGGGAAGGGACAGGAACAGGCACATCAAGGACATGTAACTGGCACTATTCTCATCATGTGCCTTTTTTTTTTTTGTAATATTGGGGAATCACATGAATCCAGGGGCACGCTCTCAGCGCCACCCTCAGCCCTTTTTTTATGTTTTACCTTGAAACAGAGTCTCACTGAGTTCCAGGCTGGCTTTGAATTTGCAATCCTGCCTCAACCTCTTCAGCAGCTGGCACTGTCAACATGTGCCAAGCCAGCCTAAGCATCTTTATTTATCTGCCCTTTTCCCAGCTTTATCTAGATGTCCATCCACATTTAATCTTCACGCCACCCAGAGAGGAAAGTATTTGGTATTATGTCTCCATTTTACAAATGGGGAAACTGAGGCCTGCTTGCCCAAGAAAGGTTCCAGCACTTGGGGGTGGTAAGAGTGGACTGGAATACAGGTAGCTACTCAACTAACAGGTCAGACGACCACCCGTGAAAGTGCGGGGAGCGGGTGCTGGCTTCCTGCAAGAGACACTCACCAACTCCTCCACCGTGGCGGGGCCCCGCGATCGCAGCCGGAGGGTTCCTCGGCCAGTGCCCAGTTGTAGGCTGGAGCTGAGGCGGCTGCTTCCTGAACGCTGGCTGATCATGTCTGCAGGAGGCAGGGGGAGAGCTCATTCGTGGCCTTGGCCGGTACCTGGCTTTGGATGCTCCCCGTCTTCCAACTCCTTCAGGTGCCTGCAGCCTCAGGGCTGGGCGCCAGGAAGGCAGGATGGACATGAGAGGGACAGTTGGTGCCAGGCCTGGGAAAGCCAGGAAGAGGACCAGAGGAGGAAGGGAAGGGCTTGGTCCCCGTGGCCAGGGGTATCGCTGTGCAGCCCAGACCAACCCTACCTGCCAAGGGAAGAGCTTCAAGTCCCCCACCCCCACCCAAGGCCTGGGGCCCATTCCTGAGAGTCAGTGAAGCCAGCTGGAAAAGTGCAGGAGCTGGCGCAGGGCAGCCAAGCCTGGCTTCTCTGAACTGGGGGGATTGCTGGGGTTGGGGGTGCTTGGCCGGACTAATGGCTCCTGGGAGGGGGGTGTGGGGTCACTTCCTCCTTGCTCCCGCTGAGCAGGGCAGACAGCCAGCACCCCTTCTAGGCCAGGGTAGAGATGCACCGCCCACCCCCATTCCAGGGTGCTGGCTGGACTTGGGTGCCACCTGCTGGTGGTTCCAGGCCCTGCAGCCTGGACTGCCCTGCCAAGGCTGGGTCACCTGGAGCTCCCACCCTGGCGCTCACCAAAGGCCTTGCGGGGCTCTGTGAGCTTCAGTGTGAAGGTGCGGCCGCGGGGCAGCTCCTTGAGCAGCCGCGCCACCTCATAGTGGCGGCAGCCCAGCAGGCTCTGGCCGTTGATGGCCTCGATCATGTCACCCACGCTGATGAGCTGGATATGGTCGATCACACTGCCTTCCTTGATGCGCTGCGTGAGGGGAAGGGGACATGAGCCCAGGTCTCTCCCGCCACGCTGCCTGCCCAGGACAGGACCACGGGGTACCTTGATGAAGGCGTAGCCCGCGCCGTTGTCGGTGATGGTCAGGCCCAGCGCGTCCTCCGACTTGAACACCTCCACCTCCTTGCGCTGCCCCTTGACGTGGGCGAAGATGAAGTCCTCCAGCCCGATCTGGCCACCCAGCAGCTTGTCCATGTCCACTTTGTGGGTGTTGAGTGTGCAGAACATCACCTGCAGGGGCCACACACTCGTCCCTGCCCCTCCGGGTCCCTGTGCTACCTGTGCTAACTGCCTGGGACAAGAGGTGGGAGAAGGCTGGGCCCAGGAGTCCCGCGCTGCCTCAGAACTGTGTCCAGAGCACAGAGCCAGTGGGGCCGCTGGGGAAATGCTTGTGGGCCCCATGGTCCCACTCCCGGCCCCCGCCTGCCCTTGGCCCCCACAGTCCTGGCTGGAGAGATGTACCCCCCATCCGACCTCCTGATGTGGGGAAGGTGATCACTGTACGCTCAGTACAGGGCACTGGGTCCCCGAGCTCACCTCCGCGGGCGGCAGGCGGAAGGCCTCCGCGATGCGCCCGTACAGCTCCTTCACGTTGCTGAAGCCCTCAATGCGGCCTGTGGGGCTGCCGTGCGCCAGCTGCGTGTGGAACACGAGGCGTGGGC